GAGCCCATGAATAACAGAACATGCTGCCAAGGACAGACATGGGAACATCCCTTTCAGAGGGACACGGGCCAAAGGAGATGTTGGGAGACACGCCTCTGCCTAATACTCGCAGAGTAGAGTCAAATGTCATAAATTGTAGGCTTTTCCAATAAATTCTCCCTGCTGCGCACTCAGTTCCCCGTGAAAGGGCCCCAGACTCCATCCATGCCCCTGACCGATCCTTTCCCTGTTTTAATGCAGAAATGGACCCAAGCAGAGAAACAGAAGATTGTGGCCGAGTTTCAGCAGCTGCGGCAGTTCCTGGAAGAACAAGAGCAACAACTGCTGGCCCAGCTGGAGAAGCTGGATGAGGAGATTGGGAGGCTCCAGACTGATACTGTCAGGAAACTCTCTGCGCAGATTTCCCATCTCAGCAAGTGGATTGGTGAGCTGGAGGGGACATATCAGAAGCCAGCCAGTGAATTCCTGCAGGTGAGACGGAGAGAGAAACATCCCAGCTCCCCACACAGGGAAGGGAGGCTCCTGAATCACAAGCACTGGGGTCCAGCTGTCAGATCTGGGTGTAATTCAGTGTGTGCATTGCTGCCATGTAAGCGACTGTTGTGCTTTCCGGAGTTACAGACACAGAGCTATTAGAGATGGCAAAGCCCCATTTGCTCAGAGGATACATAGCCCTGGGGATGCAAAATCCCTTCCCTAGGATCCCTGTATGTGTTGGATGGGGCTGAGATTGTTTTCTATGTCTCCTCTCTAGGACGTCAGAAGCACCTTGAGCGGATACGTGGCTGTTACTCCCCTCAAACTGTCCAATGCAGGAAAAGAGCTTGGAGCTGATGTTAGCACTACATCTCCCCAGGGCTCTACAGCTGGATGTAGGATATAAATCTGAGTAATTTAATTCTGAGGTTCTCACCCTTGCACTGGAGACTCTGGAATTCTCCATTCAGGGGCACAGTCTGACGTCAAGTGTTTCCTAGAGCTGGGGACTAGCTGTCTCAGGACTGTGGGGTGGGACATGGGCCTGTCCCTGCTGGGCGCTGGGCACCATTCAACCCAGGGCAGCAGGGATCAAGAGACTTTCTCACGCTAGGGCTGTTTGGAGCCCTTGGTGGAAGGAGCAGAGGAGGGGGGGAACTGATGTCTGTGGGAGTGGGAAGATTGATACAACCCTTTCCCTGGGGACCTCCAAAGCCAAAGAGTGAGTTGGGAAACACTGCTCTAGAGACTCAATTCCCCTTTTGTTCCCCAGCTGGTCTCCGCAGGCTAGAGGTGAAGACCAGCAATGGGACCTTTCAGGGGAATGTTGCACGGCTGTGGGCTGTGTTGCCCCTGCTCTCAATCTGGGATAATTAGAGGAATTCGAACTCGAGATCTGTTAGAGCTGAGAGTCACTGGTCAGACCTTATCAGCAAATCAAATATAAGCATGTGAAATTGTTTCTGTCCAGGTGTGAGATGGGGCAGTTCCAGCCACCAGAGGAGATTTCTCCTGAACTGGAAGAACAAGTCAGCAGTTTCTCCCAGAAAACAATTGGCTGTCGGAGACTCTGAGGGAGTTCAAAGGTACCTAGAAGGGATGGAGGAGGGGAAAGTGGTTTAAGTATCAGAAACTATTGAATCTGGCCTAGGTAGCCAACCTTTCCCTGCCTCAGTTCCCACATGGAGAATGAAGGCCCCCTCGTGCTGCTCTCCATAGAGGCACTGAAGCTATGTCTACACTGTGCAAAAACGTGTGCAGCGTCCACACCTCAAGCACACTTTTGCACAAGTAAATCAACAGAACGGTGGGGCTTTTGCCCTGTAGGTATTACTCTTTCTGTGAGGAATAACTCCTTTCTGTAAAGGTGTGTGTGGACGGGGAACATGGGGGGGAGGGAGGGGGTTTGTGTGAAAAGAACCAAATGTAAAAAGCACAGGTGCCCTAGTGGCCATTCTGTAGATAGCAATCAGAGCTTGTGGGAATGTTGAGAGCAGTTTTACAACACCTGCCTCTCACTCCACTGAGTGTAGCCCTCTGGCCAAGTAGCTATGCCACCCCCCCACCTCTCGGTTGCTCCAGTCTGAGGCAGGCAGGGCACATTGTGCTGCAGACCAGCCTTTAGAAGATTTCTTGCGTTCCAGCTCTTAATTATTACCTAACTAATCTAAATTAACACAACTATATTATTAGCATGATAGGCTACAGGATGTGGATGGAAAAGAAGATCTCACTTACCCCTATCCCAGGAGAGACAAGTGGTGAGGCTGAAGGGATGTTGGCTCCATTGCTGGGAGGTGCCTGAGTGAGAGGGGAAACAGAAGGTTTCAGACCTTTCCATATTAAACACTTGAGTGTGTGTCTGTCTGGTTTCTGATACAATTGAAATGCAGAGTTCAGAGTGGGGACATTATTATAAAGAGGAGAGCCTGGAATCTCACCTCTCTTATTCCTTCCCCCACCAGATGCTCTGCCCTCTGCACTGGAGAGAGCAAGAGGAAAATCCCTGGGAGCTTTCAGACAGGGTGAGTTTGCAGGTGGGGATTCTTTAAATGAGAGAATTCCTGTGAAAACATCTTAATGGGATTGTCATTGAAATTATCAACCAAACCCAGTGACCACGGTGCGCACAGCCCTAAATCTCACCCAATGATCAGTGGGATTAGGGGACCTGGATATGGGGACCTGCAGACCACTTAGAGAAATACTATTCTGTGGGGTGTGATGCTAAAGGGGTGAAGTTAAAGCACATAACAGATAGCACCTGTCGAAGCAAACGCCTCACTCA